AACAAATGTGGTTTCTACATGGAGGCGCTTCTGCATACCACAACGAATTAGTACGTGGTGAACTTAATAATCAGTTTGGTGAAAGATGGATCTTAAGTGTTGGCCCAAGGTCACCAGAATTCAATAAAGTGGACTCATTTTTTTGGGGTTACATTAAGAATGAAGTATATAAAGTACCTTCAACAACAAGGGATATAAAAAATAGAATCCGAATTGCATTTCAAATCATTTCTTTACAAATGCTTAGTAATGTAAGTAACTTTTTCAATGACCGCTTTCAAGTATGCATCGATGTTTTGGGAGGTCATTTTGAACACCTTACTTAAGTATGATTAGTTAAAATTACAGTTGTTTTTTATTTTTTTATGTGTTGTTATTTTTTTTATTTTTTGTCGATTATTTTTTATAAATTTTATTTGAAACAAATTGTTTTCTTTTCTGTGTCGTTTCTCGTTACTGAATTAAAAAACAATAATGTCAAACGGTCAGTTTCTGACAAATCAATCATGGCCAACTCCCAATAATTATTGGTAAAAGTTCAAATATCTACCAAATTAATACTTATCTAGAAAATTGATAACTTTAGGTATATGGAGTATTCCATAATATGTAAAGTACGATATTAGTACTTTTCGATAGTGACTTAAAATACAGGGTGTTCTATTTAAAATTATCAAGAAAGTAATGTACCTGCATTTTGACTTACCCTGTATTTGAATTAACGAATATTATGAAAACGAATATATTTTACAATTTTTAACAATAATTAAAAAACTATGGTTGCAATAGATCAATGGACCTATACTCCTTTTTAATTATACAGGGAGTTAAACTTGATACGATTTTCAGGTAATATTGGTTATAACTTTTTAAATATCCGGTATAACATAATAAAACTTTACATTATTGTGATGTGGAAGTGAAGCAGATTTCAAATTTAAAATAAAATACAGGGTGTTTCATTTAAAAAAACATAAGTTTGGCCCGCCACAATCTTATAGAACACCCTGTAAGATTGTTACTAATTTTAAAATGAGGAGTTTAAAGCTGTCTACAATTTTTGTCAATAATTTTTTTTGTAATTTTTACTATAACAGATCTACTGAGTTTCCTCATACTAATCAATCACCCAAAAGAGTTATCAGAAAAATTTTCTACCAACTATCCAAAAACAAAATTTGATTAATTTATTAATGTTCTGCATTCTGGGAAAGATTTCCGAAGTAGAAATCGAAACATCAAAAATAAACTTATTATAAACTTAAATTGTGGCTTAGTCCCCAAAATATAGGAAATGACAAATACTTCTGTTTTACATTCAAACTTAAATTAAATACTACTAAAAAAATTTAAAAAAATTGTTTTTAAACAAATTAGGTGGTTTATTTGACAATTTATTTATTTAAATAATGCATATTCGTAATGTACGCAAAAAGTATATACAAGTTGAAAAAGAAACGTTGAAATACATAAAAAAGGAACAGAGATACAGTTAACAGCGCCTTCCCCCTCCCTTCAGCTTCCGAGAGTTTTAAAGCCAACGGATTTTACATACATTTTGAAGCTTTGTGGAGAATTCGATTAAAGGGCAATAATTTTAAAATTTAGTAGTTTAAAACTATGATGTATATTCTTTCAAATAGAGCTAATTAGATTTCTTAATTGTTATAAACAAAGGTGCTATGAATTAAACAAAAAAAGAGGCTAACTTTGTACCAAATTATTTTAGGACAAACTTTTTTGTATTTAAATTTGTGAAAAAATTCAAGCTTTTCAAATATGTAAAAATAATATTTTTACAGTCAATGGTTAAAAAGTTATTCTAATTGTTTATAAGCAAAAAATCGACATGTTTTTGCAAAATTATTTTGCAATATTTAAAATTAATTTTCCTAATTTTTTTTTAATGTAAATAATAAAACAAGTCTTCTTCTACCAGAAACAACCCTTACAATTTCTAAAACTGTATAAATTTCTGACTTATATTGTTGCAAAAAATGTTAATTTGGGATAAACAAATAAAATAACTTTTAAACTATTGGACCGATCATTTTGAAAATTTAACCCTATTTTAAGCACTACAAGACACATCACTCCATGAAATATAAATATTATATGTTTTTTTCTCAAAAAAAGTTATTAACATTTATAAAAAACCGAAATTTTTTACTTATTTTGCAACAAATAAGGATAGAAGCATTTTGAAAACGCCATTTTGAAGGTTTTTATATAACTTATAAGTTTCCACTCTTCTAAAATTTGTTTAAATTGCTTATATTTTTGCTGATAGCCGAAAAATGCAAAAAATTTCCGTTTTTTGAACTTAATTTGTTAATAACTAATTTAGTCCAAAAAATCGACTGCAGGAAACATAGGTTTTTATTACAGAGGTCCACATTACTCAAAACAACTGTCGTTTGCCTGGCCGGACGAGTGTCAAAAACAGGGTACTTTTTTTGCTTATTTCCCTGGCCTATGTGCAATGGAATGAGACTTAACCGTGGCATGGCTAATGAATAATGTCATCGTTGTATATTTACTAACCGCAAAAAAAAATAAAAATATTGTTTACCAGGAAGCACTAAATTAATTTAACTTTTTTCAAACATAATATTTCTGAGTATTTTTTGGTTTCTGTTAATTTTTAGTTAATGAACTTGAATATAAGGAATTATTAAATTCTAAGGAGGTACAAATTTCGCCAGCTCAGCTAGTATATATAGTGCGTTAAGTTTTTAATTAGGTATTGCACACTATACGGAGCGCTAAAGTCGGCAACGTTGCAAATGTTCGTTCTCCGACCCGAGACTATCTGCACCGACAGAAAATCATTTTAGTTTAGTAACTCACAACAACGTTTGGGATGTACTTCTCTGTCGTCCGATCTCATGTTTCATTACGTATAGCCGATTTTAATAGTAGGAAATTCGATAAAAATGCACTGACCTAATCGGTGCATTGTTATCGATTTTTATTAATGTGATAATTTTTCGACTGTTCTAACAACCATTCAAATTTCGTCATTTTGTATCATGTGGAACAATTTCACCCAATCATGTCAACATTAGACTGATAATTGCATTCAGTGCAATTTTCAATCCCTATGACAACACGATCGAGTTTGACAACTTCATCCAAATAAATTTCAAAATGTCACGTTTCTATAAAACCATACTTGAATCTCGATCAAGAACACCACAACAAGGTTATAAATATTATGCGTGGTAATAGATCTTCTATAGTAGAGAACAGCAACGAATCTAATGTTAACTTAAATTTTAGTAATTGTACTTTCACTAACTGTACTTTTAATAAATAAATGTTTCGTTATGATTTTTTTTTCGAAAAATTATCCGCCGAATATACCTCGGACATTGATGAATGCCTCATAATTTCATGACAAATTTCTCAAGCTCGTTGCTTGGTAACAGCACTCAGCCTTCGGCTTCGTGCTGTTACCAAGGAACGAGCTTTCAATTGTCATGAAATTATCTCGTCTGTTCTCAATGTCCTAGGGATATTACTACTGAAAATTTTTTTGTGGTTGAATTAAAAATAAAAGCGTATTTTTTTAAAAAGATAAAATAAAAAATATACTCTTATTGAAAATTAAAATATTATTCCTAATAAAATAAAAAATAATTCTTTATGACCTACAGAAATGGTTCAAATAGTTGACCTTCTACGGCTGAACAGTACCCCAATCTGTCATAAAAACTTCTGCGAACAGATGAAAGAGTTTCTGCTGTAACAGAATTGGAGACTTCTCTTATTCGATTTTTTAATTCATCCAAATTTTGGGCTCTAGCCTCAGAATGATCATAGATAATGCTTTTTAAATGTCCCCAAAAAAAGAAGTCCATGGGTGTAAGATCTGGAGATTGTGCAGGCCACTTAATATCGCCTGTTCCACTGATAACTCGATTCGGGAAAGTATTGTTTAAATACTCCCTAATAATTCGAGCGTTGTGAACTGAACAGCCGTCTTGATGAAACCAAACATTCTCCAGATTTACATCAGAAAGATTGAGAATAGCGGGAAGAACATGATTCTGTAACAAATCGAGGTACACTCTACTATTCAAGTTACCCTCAATAAAAAATGGACCTATTATGTGGTCTCCTAAAATGCCAGTCCAGACTTTAACTTTTTGAGGACGTTGAGTTCGGTAAACAACACTTCTGTGCTGGTTTTCCCGCGCCCAATACCTCGTAATGGAAGGATTGTGTATCCCTACTAACGAAACAGAAGATTCATCAGTGAATAAAATGTTTTTAATAAAATTTGGTTCACTATTAGCCTTCGTTATTAGAGTTTCACAAAACGCCATTCTTCGAAAGTAATCGTCTGGATAAAGCTGCTGCGTTTTCGAATATTTAAAATTCTTGTAACCGTGCTTTTTCCATACTTTCGTTACAGTTACATTGCTAACATCTAACTCTCTAGCAACGCTTCTACTTGAACGTGTTGAATCTACCTCGATTGTTGCACAAATTTGTGTATCCCGGTATTCTCTTTCCTCAACTTTTTCTGGTAACACTTCTTGAGCGTGACATTTTCTGCAATTTTTGAGGCAATAACAACTCTCAAAATTTTTAACAATATTATAAATTGACTGTACACAAGGAATTGGTCTTCCCTCAAAAAACACAGAAAATAAATCTACACACTGTTGCGCAGAATTGCCACTATAAAACCGTTTTATTATTTGAGCTTTTTCCGCGGCCATATAAACAGACATGTTTACAAAAATAAATTAAAACTCTACGCTGTTATACCTTTAAACAACCACGGTATAATGACAATATGACAAATTTGCCGACGGGCGACGAGCAACGAGGAGTCAACGAAGCAGATATGTAGTAGCAAGTCGACGACGCGCAGTGTTGCCATTTATAGAGTGTATACTTAATCCAAAACTTAACGCACTGTATATATATATATATATATATATATATATATATATATATATATATATATATATATAAAGTTTACTTACACAATTAATTCTTTTGTATCACTCAGACATCCTTTTGTACTTATATCACCAAACGTCCTTCTAACTACTTTTGTTTGTGGACTTAGTCGCTTTATTTCAAATTCAACTAATCTTTGATCAGTTATATTGTGAGTTATATCCATGACAAGAAATAATACAGCTGCATTTGGATTAGCATACATTTTCCAAGCATCTATGAAACCTTGAGCTAAATTGGTAAGTGCGTTGTTTTCAGGAAGCTGCAAATACCATAATCAGAGTTTTTGGACAATATCATAAGGGATCAAGTTAAATAAATTATTGCTATTTTATATACAATTCAAGAGTATAAGTTTCTAAAATATTTAAAGGAGTCGTTGAAAATGGTGCGAGTATAGAATATGTCCTAACCTAGTTCTTAAGATAACTAGGTAAGAATGGAAAATAATGAAAAAATGCAAGTAATTAATTTATGAAAAAAATTTTGAATCCCGGGAAGCTGCAATACAAAATAAATTCTTCTATACGGAAGAACAGGAGTTGTATTTAACTTGCAGAACAGCATATGAAGTGGGAGACTGTATTCAATTTGAGCAATTTTCCATATTACGTCGTGCTATATAATTATTTCTTGAATATTATATATTCAAGGTTCTTGAACTCCTAAGTGGAAGTAGAGCTTCAGTGAAAACGCGCCATCGGGTTCTATTTTGCGCTAAGGCCTTCACCTCATTCCAAGACTTTCCTTGGCCTCTTATCTCGTCAAAAGCCGCATAATTAGTCTTATTATAAATAAATATCCCTTATTTCGTTCATCAGTTTCGCAGTAAGATTATTTATTGTAAACGTACAGTGATCTTTGCTGCGACTATCATCAGCCTTCAGAGGTTAGCCCCTCTGGCTTGTTCCGTTCCTTCTTTCCATCTCTTCCTGGATCTTCCAACATTTCTTTTAACTTTTAATTTGTAGTTATACACCAGATTCGAAAAGCGGTCCTCAATAATTCCGTTCAGATAGTCTTTCCAGTTTTTTCGATATTCAGGAATTCTGTCATTAAGGGCGAATATAGTCTATATATGACCTCGTATAACCTCTAACATTTCCCAAAAATCTCAACTCTGCAGCCTGGATTTTACTTTCACCTTTTTTGTTAGGACTAACGTTTCGCTGCCATATTGAATTGTTTTAACTGTCGTTGTTTTATAAAATTTCATTCTTTTAATACTTTCTCGTGTGTTTCCCTTAGATCTTCTTATAGTTCCGTATATTCTTTGGAAAGTTGTTCATAGTCATAATCAAAAGATGAAGCTTAATTCAGATAACTAAAATTCGATACTTGTTTGAGAGAGATATTATCAATGCATATCTTGTATAATGTTCTCGTTTCCCCGAAATGCTAATATTTTAGTTTTATGTATAGATATTTGGCATCCATATTGTTTGTTTACTATGTCTAGTTTATATAGTGCAGGTTTTGTTCAGTCGTTGCTACTATAGCTTGGTCATCGGCATAGAGGATTGTACTTAATTAAAGATTTATTGTGCCCGAGGTTAACGCCACATGGAGAGCACTTTTTCAATTTTCTAATTAAGTCATCGATATACAACTTGAAAAGAATTAAGGATAGGCAACGATCTTGCCATATCCCTTGGTTGATTTTTATCGACGCTAATGCTTAATCATTAGTTAAATTCCTGATTGTGGTCCCCTAAATAAGCTTTTAATTACCTGTATGAGACGTATTGGAAATACTTTCTATTTTGGTATGTTCCATAGCACTTCACGATTAACCTTGTCTAAAGCTTTTGTGTAGTCTACAAAAGCGATACGAGATAAGTACTCCATCTGTGCGCAATCGGACTTTTCTGAAATTTTTCTTCTCTACAACAGTTTGTACTCATTGGGTTCTTGCATATAGTTTATACGCAGAGTTCAGCAATCTTATTCCTCGATAGTTCTCGCAGTTGCCTCTGCCTAGTTTCTTAATACACCTTCTTAAAAACCGATCTCAGTTTCGTTATCTTCCACTCCCAATTTTTTTCTATTGTTCTTCTGTTTAGAAGTCTTTTCCACGACTCACAGATTGTTTTGTTTCTCCTATGTGGAAAATATTTTAATTGTCTAGTTTTTCTATCTTCGACCTAAAATTCTCAAAATAATTACTTCTCTATCAATAATGTTCGTTATTCTTATTAGTATTTTTGATGTCTGGTACAGTTACGAACTCTCCGTACTCTGTTCCTACCTCAAAGTAATACATTGTTTCACACATCGCAGGTAATATCAAGAATACTTCTACTGTATGTATTTTTACCTCCCTTCTCGTCTCTTCTTTCTATAGTGTTAACTTTAATTATTTTTAATGTTTCTCGTAATTGATTGTAGCGAAATATTTCAATATAATGTTGTTTCTAATTACTCCTACTACGTTGTCCGAAAAACTTGGCATAACCGTGAATTCGTGTCACAATTTAATTTTTTCTGAATCTTGCAATATTTTAAGGCCACACAATAGCGTGCCGCTTGTAAAAATCCTGCCTGAGATTCAATTTAACTTGATTAAGTTTCGTTTATTTAACCCGCGCGAACACGGACAGCGGTCAGGCGTTCAAAAGAGGTGGTTATTGTTAGTTGCTGCCCTGGAAACTATCAGGGTCTTCTAATCATTTTTTGCCACAAATTGTTTGCATTGCTCCTGTAGTAATCCTTTTTCCAAGTTGTTCTCCTATTCCAACTTAACTGCACCGTACTTATGACGACCAAATAGTCCATTGTATTTTTTCCTTGTTGGGAGCTATGCCGATATATTTTTTACCTATTTTACTTTTCATTCGCATTATCCTTTCACTACTTGTTTTAAACGGTTTATACGTTTGACACTGCACTCCTCAGGTAGCTGCAGCTTCCACGGTGGTTATTGTTAGTTGTTGCCCTGGAAACTATCAGGGTTTTCCATTATTTTTTGTCACAAATTGGTTATATTGCTTCTGTAGTTATCCTTTTCCCAAGTTAATGTTTTTCTATTCTAACTTGGCTGCAGAAATACGTATTTATGCTTAACTTCTATCTTATATACCATTGTTTTTTTTTCTCGTTGAGAGCTATGCCGATATATTATTTATCTTCAAGGAGCAGTGACTGTCAAACTCAATAAGCAGTGATACAACAGTGGAAAGGGTTGGAAACTCACACTGTAACTCTTGAAGGTCTCAGTCAGATAAGTTATCTGACTATATATATAATCTCTAGAGAGGTCAAGTTGATGCGTGTCTAATTGGGTTAATAAGTAAAACTAATTGTATTTAAAATAGCAGTAAACAATGTGTGCAACGAACAGACAATACACAAAATTTTAAACCAAAACCTTTATAAGAAAGTCCTGAAAATAATCTTTCTGCCAGTAATCCAGTACTTTCTGCTCGATTACATATATAGGCAAGATATTAACAAAAATAGCCAAGCAAATAAAAAAGAAGGGAATAACGCCAGCTTTCAGAACAAACAACAACTTAAACAAATATATTAAGAACAAGAGACAGAAGAAAAAGCACTTACACAGTGGTGTATACAACATGTGGCGTCTGCCCAAACACTTACATCGGTCAAACGGGTAGAAACTTTAACAAACGTATAGCAGAACACAACAGAACTTTCAATAATAGAAACACAGATACGCATTTCACCTTCTAGATCAGGAGTGAGCAACATTTTTAATCAACGGGCCAATTTCAATTTTAAATGGCCGCACATAAAGTAACATTTATTAATAATTTCCAAAACTTTATTTATAATAAACATTAGAACAAAAAACAAAATTAAAAAAAATAAAGATTTTATATACGAATTTTAATGCAAAATGACAACAAACAAAAAAAGAACAGAAACACGAAATTGGGCATTTTTTCCATACAAGCTGATCAATATCAGCCAGAGTTGATGAGGTAATTACACGTACGCAGCTTTCTAATCGTGTATCACTCAGTCTTGATCGGTTGGCATTTTTGATTAATTTTATGATTGAAAATAATTGTTCGCAAACATACGTACCTACTTCCGAACAGAAACATCATTTGCTTTGTATTTTTCGTTAAAAACGGAAATGTTTTCAGGAACTGTATCCACATCGATATTAAATGGCGAGAAAAACGTTTTCATGGAATACGCTGTCTTCTCAGCGTTAAACATTTGGAATCGTAATTAAAATTCGTTTTCTAAAATGTCTACATATTTTGCATATTTTTGAGAAGTAATAACGTTTTCTTTTTCTAAATGTGCAAAGTGATACACATTATTCCGCAAAAGACGCTGTTTTCACAATTTTAGTTTGCGCTCTAAGCTATGAATTTTATCATACAAAATGAGAATAAACTGTCCTTTTTCTTGAAGTGGTAGACCATTGAGATGCTGAGTCATGTCGATAAGAAAGCGAAAATCGCAGAACCATTCTTTATTACCAAAATGAGGAAAGGCGTATTCCTTCATATCCAAAAATAATTGTATTTCCCTTTTTAAGTATACTCTTATCCACATTACACCTCTACTAAGCCAACGTACTTCGGTATTAAAAACCACTTCACCATAGTGATTTTATGGTGATTTAACACGAGGGACTTTATAAAATTGATTAGTTTAATTATTTTCGCACACAAATTTTCCTGATAAATTATGCAATGGTTAACAAATAATGCCTTAATAATGCTCGTGCTCCGTCTGTCGTATACCAATAAAGTTTTCTAATAAAATTGAAAAAAAATTCCAATATATACTTTAGTTCATCGTACAGGTCTTTGCTGTTTGTAGTCCCGTGCATTAGAATCAGTGAATACAATTCTTCGGTAATATTAAAATTGGTGTCAAAACTATCGCAACTCTTCATCAAATGCCAAATTATTAGAATTTTGCAATGCGTTCATGAAACGTTGTTGCTATGTTCTTGGACAAGTCTTTAGTTCTCCATATAAGAACTTTCTTTTATTATCTCTCCTTCCACAAAGGGTTTCATTTTTTGCCAGTATTTGACTGACAATAAAACTAGCCTTTACTGCCGTATTTGATAAAACAGCTTAATTTTTAAAAATATCCTGTTGTTTTCACAAGGTTTTCTCCATTTCATTAAACTTATCTATCCGGAGCTGTCTTGTTAAGTTTTAAATTGTTGTTCATGTTTTGCTTCAGGTTGTCCAGATTTATCTTTGACAAAAGTGAAAAAATACTAAAATTTCCACATTTATGTTAGAAACGTCTGTGCCCATCCGCAATTTTCCGTTTTTTTGCTTTTCCGATAGGCTGTTATGGATTAAAAATTTGAAAATATTTGAACATATTTCAAGAAATACAGGAATGGCTAAAATTACTAGTTAACGCCTTACCAGTCTGACTAATTACGTGACAGACTTGCATCTCGGGACAGTGAGTGCAGATTGAGATTCACGACTACAAGCGTTTATACCGGATGCCAGCCGAAGTTAGGAGTGCTGTCGTGCTTTTGCAGATACAGTGAAACCTCGATTATCCGTCAGGGCACCGGACCAAGGGTATGACGGATAGTCGAAAAGACGGTTAACAAAACATTTAAAAAAAATTCATAGTAAAACTCTCAAATTTTATTTGTATGTTTTATTTGATAATATAAGAGTGATTTATGTTAGTAAAGTCGAATCAATTTGATCTAAACTATTCCGAAATATTTGTTTGTTTTATTTTTACTTCACATTTTGCAACGGCTGAATTCTTAATCGACGTAACATCATCAAATCTACCTTATTTGCTTCTTCTTGTCGAAAATACAACTAGATGATTTGTTGACGCAACTTCTTTAGCTTCTTACTCAAATCTTTGTGAGTTGCAATAGCAATCATTAACCATTCGTTTATGACATCTTTAGGCAACAAAAACAAAACAGTTGATTCAGCTATAACTTCATTTGTTACCGCATTATGCTTGGCTGTCACGGAGGCATTTTCATCTTGAGTTGATTCAGGCCATAATTTATTCCACGTTCTTTTTAGTGTTACTTCTGAAACATCAGCCCAAGCATCCACAGCATTGTCGACTGAGTGTTTTAAATTGTATGCTTTTCAGTATTCTGGCAAAGACCCCTTTTATAACTAGATTTTGAATAAATTTTTTTCTGTATCTTCTTTTAAATACTTCAATAACCGATTGATCCATTGGCTGTACCAATGATGTTGTATACGCAGGCAGAAAAGAGCTCGGGAAATTTCCATCGTCACTTCGCAGCATACCGGCTTCAGGATGGGCATGTGCATTGTCCAAAATGAGAATCGCCTTTGTGGCAAATTTTTTTGCTTACAAGTATTGTCTAACGTCCGTAAAAAACAAGACGTTAGAAAAATAGATAAACAAATTTTGGTTTGCAGTACATACCTTTTGGAACCAGTCAGCGAATATTTCCTGGGATATCCATGCATTATGTTGTGCATAGTAGTTAACGGAAAGTGCGTTCATATTTATGCCCTTGAAACAACGTGTTTTTTTTGCTGTACCAATCAATGATAAAGGAAGGCGATGGTCACCACTTGCATTTGAACACATCATTGCTGTGATTCGTTGCTTTTGCGTTTTAAATCCAGGTGTATATTTTTCAGGCAGTGCAGCGAGTGGTTTCATTGGCAATGCTTTGTAGTTTAAACCAGTTTCATCCGCATTGAACACTTGATCGAGTGTCATCATATTCATCGATTATAGCTTGAAACTTTCTTTTTTTTATTACTTATGTAGTCAATATAACTTATGTATGGACCCTGACGGTTAACAGAGGTGACGGTTAATAGAGAGACGGATAATCGAGGTTCCACTGTATACCTATATTTCCATTTCCCTCCCCCTCCAGGAAGTTATATTCAGTAAAGTTTAAATTACCAGAGTGCTCGAATTTCATAAAAATATAAATTATAACAAGCGGCCCGCGGTCCGCGTATTGCTCATCCCTGTTTCAGATCATAATCATTGTTTTAATAACCAATTTCAAACTGTTCACATTGAAAATAAAGGCCTTAAGCTGTCATTATTATAATCTATGGAAATTAACAAATTAAAAAATACAATTATAATTGTATATAACCAACTTGAGACAAACGGTTCTCCTCTCCTTAATTTATTCAGTTAAATTCACTTATTCACTTATTTTGTTAAAGACTATAAAGTATTGAAAACAAAAATTTTCAAAGTTTTATTGTGAGCTCAAATTTTATCATTTGCACGTGTTGTTATATACGTTATATCCATCCATGGTCATTTGTCAAAATATACTGAAGAAATACAGTCAGTATGACAGACGTAGCTGCTTCACAACATATGCCACTTAAACATTTAAAAATGTCTTCAAAAAATTTTTGAACAATACTTACATTTTTTACTTTATCATAATATCCTAGTTCTTCCAAAATATATCTAAAATAAAACATTAAACATGAATTTAGTTTATATAATATCACATATATGTATGAATTATTTTTCGTTGTAAATTTCATGTAACATTTAAATTCACAATTACGTATTTAACAAGTTTGCAGAAAGATAACTATTCATAATCGCAGTACATGTTAAATATTTGTTAAAATTTAGGAAACAATCTCATTAACCAATAAAATTTATGTTAAAATCAATATCAGCCTTTTCAAGGACATATGGGTCTTGACTGTAGAAGCGCTTTCATCAATACAGTGGGACAATACTGTACTTTTTAAATCTCACTAATAGAACTGTTAAATTCGCTACCAAATGTTAACAGTATACTTTATGTTTTCATAAACAAATAAATTTGTATGTGTACATTTGTTTATAAAAACATAAATACAGTTAAACTGTATTAAAAAGATACAGTACAAAGACTGTATTAAAAAGATGAAAAATATTATACCAATTCCATACTTCAATATTGATTGAAGTACAGTTGTGATAAGTTTGATGATTTTCAACAGCCTTGGTAATAGATTTCTTGCCGGGAAGTGGATATAATTCCAAACACACCTTTTGGGAATCTAGGATTATAAACTCTAAAGGAAAACAGCTCCTCAAAGATATGCAAAATAACGACTTTAACCACCTGTCCATTACGTATTGACCTACTGACAGAAACAAAATGCCTGATCTCCCCTCCCCTGTTCTAATGACGGTAAACTCAGAAGCAACTATAAAAGACAATCCAACGTTTCTGAGTAACAACTATACTAACTGAAACCACTTAAGAATTATCTTAGATGAAAAACTACAACTAAATATCCCACTAAAAACTAGTTACTAAATCGACGCAGCCGTAGAACACTTCACCCGTTCGGTTTGCAGGATAATCTACGCCTAATCAAAGAAAAAATATGTATTACAATAATCGTGACTTACCATCACTCATTAAAGTTGAAATCGCTAACAAAAGGAAAATCTGGCAAAGAACAAAGTCACCCTGAGATAAAGCAATACTTAACAGAGCAATGATGAAACTGAAAACAACTCTTAACAATCACAAGAATTTGGGCATTAACAACTACCTTAAAAACTTAACAGAATACTCATATGAAAAGCTACAAAAAAATTAATAGTCCAAAACTCCTTATCCCCCCAATCCGTATGGAAAATGATAACTGGGCCAGAACTAACCCTGAAAACGCTAAAACTTTTGCTAACCACTTAGCCAGCGTTTTCAACCGCATCCTTCGAGGTTGAACCCCGAGGAAGACATTGATATTTATAACCTCCTGGAAGGTCCATTCCAGCTTGAACTCTCATTTGCAAATTTTAAAATCAACCAAGCGAAAGAAACTATTAAGACTAAAATGCACCCAAAGAAGTATCCTGGTCACGATTTCATTACAACTACAATTATATACAACAAGAACCGTTCACTTCTCGACCCAGTGGAAACTAGGGAAGTTTAAATTTATCACCAAGCCTGGAAAACCTCTGAATAGTACCACCTCCCATAGACCAATTAGTCTGTTGGTAATTCCAGGAAAATTAAGCTCTAAACTAAAATCTCTAGATAATACCAAATCATCAATTCGGTTTCAGACCGCAACACGCAACCATCGAACAAATACATCGAATAACAAAAAAGATAAGTCAAGGCCTTAAAGACAAATTCTATTGTTCTGCGGCATTGTTAGATATTTTCCAGGCATTTGATAAGATCTGGCATACTGGCCTCCTGTATAAAATTTCAATTTCTTTTGATTTTATTCATCTATTGATTTTATCTTTTATTTTACACAAACCATTAATGACACTTCTGTTCGTGTGGAGGACCTCAGCAACGTCTCTTTAACTTCTGCCAGCTTGAAGCAACCCCAATAGCACGCCACTGCGTTTTGCGATTTAAATGATGTCTCTCCATTATTGACAATTGCAAAACTATTGTCTATTCGCTTAGCTAGGGCATATTTTGACAGACTCATTGTAGGAAACCTACAACACAACAATTCCTACTTCTCAGTATTAATAGCTCGAGTATACTACTATTGCAGACTTCTTTCTTTGAAAAAAAGAAGAATTATTCTAAATAGTGGAAGTGTATACTAAACCCATCAAATTTTCCCTGTATATTTAAAATATAATATTTGAATTGTTACAATTTAAAATATTGTAGTAAATATTTGTATTATTCGCGTTGTTTATTTAATTTAATATAGTTTTATTGTTTTATCTTTGTTTAATTATTTTGTTAGTTCTATTCAGTTAATTAGTTAGTTATATTTTAAATTTTATTATTATGGATAGTCAAAGTTTTCCATTTGTTCCATCAGCTAATGCGTTGGTAAGTTTTTCTTAATAAATATGATAAAATGTTTTTTAAAAGTTAATATTTTTAGATTAGTTGTTTCTAATTTAATATAAACTTGTTTATACCTACATGGAGGTTTTTGTTGTTTGTTTGGGTTTGTATGACTGCAGACTGCGGCCAGAACACTGAATTCATTCACCATATGTGGAAGATTTTAACATCCTCAAATATGCTAATGAGCAAACATTACTATTGAACCACGAATTTGCCTAGTCAAATTACTAATATTTGCTTTTAGCATATGGAAGTACACTTATTTTGTAAGATAATAAAACAACAGTTTATGTTAATGTTATCCAATGAACTGTTAATCTTTAATCATTGATTCTATCCTAGTCACAACATAAGCAACTTGCTGTGTCTTATTTAACCTCACTTTGACTTTTTAATTTTGTAGAATTTATTCCCACTTTTTTTATTTTGTACAATAAATAATTTTATTATTTGTTATCAATACATTATACGGTGTAAATAAATAAATATTGATTGTCGGCAAAATTCTATTTTATTTACTTTTGCTTACATTAATATTGACTAAGAGCACGTATGCTTGGTTGTATAGTAATTTCCAGCCACTTCGAGTCTGTCAAAAAGTAACTAACTTCGCAAAAAAATAATTACTAAAATCACTAGACAGTTCGGACTGGGAATAGCGAACCGGGTATAAATAAAAATCCACATAGATATCGAAAATCAGGTAGCAGTAAAGAAATATTACTTCTTATCTTATAGACAACAAACTCATTCCAGTTTTGTTAAATTTTTTATTGTCAGTCTTATCAGGATTACCGTGCAAATTCCTACAATAATCGACCAAACAACAAAAAAGATTAAAAACATCAATTTATTTTTGTATTTGCAGTTAACATTGATTTAAAGCTATTAATAGAGGTGTCCCTTGGATTATTTTGATATGTGTATATATATTTTTTTTAAATTTCATGCTTTTTGCAATACTATTTTGGCTGATTTTTTATGGCAGGTACTCTTGCAGTGGTGTTTAGATGGTCTGTTGTCTGTTTTTCAACTTAACCAGTTATATTTGGGTAGATTTCTTTAATTACTTTATTCATCTTTTATATTTCCAAAAAACTCAAGAGAAGATTTGATTTTATCATGTTTTCTCATTATATAGGTACTTTTAACTTAGTACAATATTTTTACCTTCTTCTAATAGGTATTTCCGTGTACTCAAAAGTACATATATATATATATATATATATATATTATATATATATATATATATATATATATATATATATATATATATATTTATATTTATTACATATATTTCTTTCTTATTCTTTATAGCTAACAAATTTGCCAAATTTATTGTAAAACTTTGCATTCAATTAGGATTACAATACTTAGATCTAGATGGTAAAGAACCTGACAATTTTCATGTTCTTTTATGTATAGTTATCTTCTATCTTTTGTAGATCATATTTATGCATTGTTTTGTTCTTTAGTGTAGATCTCTGGCTTACATTTTGTGGAAGTAACATTTATTGTGTATCATTACCTATTTAAATTTAAGGCAGGCAGAATTAAAGCACTAGAAACGACAAAGCGATCATCTCTAGCTATTTTAATTCTGCCTCGACCTGAACCAGACCTTGAGTAAGCTACTTTGAATCAGCAGACGGATCTCTTCGTACCTTCGCAATACTCGTTGAACACTCAAGAGACTACACCAACATTTCTTGAAGTTTAGGGCTGACCGTGCCCTTCTTCTAACGCCGTCTCAATTATTGCCTTCAGAACAGTACTAATGTTTATTTCAATACAAAGACAGTGACAACAACAATTTACAATTGACGTTAAAACCACATAAAGAAAATCTATGCTAATAATGGTTTTCAGGAATTAGAACAAGTGAAACAGCAAAAACAATTATCTTTCTCAAGAAATCTACAAGTTAACAAGTTACAATAGAAAATAGTTACAACCAGCAAAAACCTAATTTTATGTCGACAGTGTATATGCAGGGTGTGACCCGTCAAGCTTTGATTAAAAGTATTGGCGGATAAAGTTATGTTAAAAATCTGAAATTACGAAGATATAGGTTTTGGATGACGCTTAGTTGAAATGTAGCACTTCCGGTTATGCGGGAAGTAGACTTCAACTTTGTTATTTTAAATAGAACCCAAATTTTAAATAAAATTTGTCTACTCTGTCATATACCTAAAATAAAGCATTTTCGAGATATTACGATTTTTTTTTCAAAATTTTGAAAAAATCCTAGTCTACATTGAATAACGATATCTCCATTAATAACAAGGATAGTGACGTGAAATTGTAATTAATAAACAACAAACGCTTTCCCGTTACTTTCATATGTCCAACTCATTAATATTTCATACAGGTTATTTTAAACTTAGCCGCCAACATGCACAATTCAAATCATTTATAAGTTTTAGATGTTTGAAAAGTCTAGTTCCTGTTGAAAAGTTGAACAAGTTTAGTTCCTGTTTTTTGAGAATTCCCGTTTTTCCAAGTGTGCTAGTTCCAGCCCCCAATGGATAAAGCTCTTCGCTGATGATGTCCGGATAGATACTCCAGAGATGTAACAAGTTTTTTTTTTGTTAAGTGGAAATATGTGAATCCAGGTAACTGT